CAACTGCCACCACCGGCTTTCCACAAGCCTCTCTCTCCAACCCCAGCCTCTCTCTCCACCTCCCACAATCCTCCTGCTCTTGAGGCCGATTGGCTGGGTCACGTGGGTGGAGCCAAAAAATTCCCCCAATGAGCAGCTCCGTGGTCTGAAAGGGCAGGGAAACATCCCAATGAGCATCACCACAGAGGAGCCAATCAGCTAGATGTTGCTGGGGCCGCTGTGAGCCAATCATCAGCCGGCAGCTGGAGTTTGCTGGCAGCTGGAAGTTTGCTGGGGCCCCTTCGGCTGTGGCTCTCAACACCCCAACACCCTCTAAGTGATTCCCCTGCTGCTGACTCAGCCTCTCCACCATTGGAGGAGGCTGAGCTGGCCCAGCGCCCTCCAGATGACTTCCCCGCGGCACACACAGCCCCTCCTCCCCTGGAGGAAGCTGGCCTGGCTAAAGGAACTCGCGGTGGTGAATGATTAAAAACCCTGAAGCCCCCGTGATACTCCCCCTCCGTCCTTATGGGCCAATGATAGACGATGGCCATGGAGGAGAAATGCAAACCTACCAGTATTGGCCTTTGTCCTCTTCAGACCTATGTAACTGGAAAAATAACAATCCCCCTTTTTCCGAGGACCCCACCCAGCTCACAGGTCTGATTGAGTCACTGATGTTTTCACACCAGCCTACTTGGGATGACTGCCAACAACTCCTAGGCACTCTCTTCATGACAGAGGAACAAGAGAGAATCCTCCTGGAAGCTAGAAAAAATATCCTCGGACCAGATGGGCGACCGACACAACTTCCCAACATAATCGAAGCCGACTTCCCCTTGAACCGACCCAACTGGGACCCCAACACCTTTGAAGGTAGGGAGCATCTGTCCACTTATCACCGGGCTCTAATAGTGGGTCTCTGAGAGGCCGCTAGGCAACCAACTAATTTGGCCAAGGTAAGAGAGATTATTCAAGGGCCTGATGAATCTCCCTCTATGTTTCTAGAGAGAATTATGGAGGCATATAGGAGATATACTCCTTTTGATCCTCAGGCAGAGGATCAAAAGGCATCTGTCATGATGGCCTTTATTGGGCAAGCTGCCCTGGATATTAAAAGAAAGTTACAATGCTTAGATGGATTACAAGACATGACTTTGAGAGATTTGGTCAGAGAAGCCAAGAAGGTATACTATAAGAGAGAAACTGAAGAAGAGAAGGAACAAAGGAGGGAGAAAGAAAAGGAGCAAAGGGAGGATGAGAGAAGCAAAAGACAGACTAAGACATTGACTAAGGTCCTGGTCACAACAACAAATAGGCCAGAAATTAAGAAACAGGGAGACAGGAAGGGATACCTGGGCCCACGCCAGAGGCCACCTCTGGCCTCAGACCAATGTGCCTACTGTAAAGAAAAAGGACATTGGGCCAAAGAGTGCCCTAGAAAGAGACAGCCATGCCAGCCAGCCATTCTAACTCTGGAGGATGACTAGGAAAGTCGGGGCTCGGATCCCCTCCCCGAGATCAGGGTAACTTTTGAAGTGGAGGGGACCCCAGTAAACTTTGAGGTGGATACAGGGGCAGTATACTCAGCCCTTAAGGCCCCATTGGGCCCTCTATCAAATAAAAGGTCTCTATTTCAAGGGGCTAACGGCAGTAAATATCGGGCTTGGACAACTAAGAGGACCATGGACCTGGGGAAAGGAAAAGTCCATCACTCCTTCCTAGTGATCCCAGAATGTCCGGCCCCATTGATGGGCAGAGATCTGCTCACCAAGCTCCAGGACAAAATAACTTTTAACCCTGAAGGCCCCCAATTGGAATTTCTAAATCCTTCAGTAAAAACTCCTATAGTCAAGGCTTTAACTATGTCAGTAGAAGATGAATATCAACTCTTTACACCCCCCAAGGCTGATCAAACAGGCAAGCTACCCCAGAAATGGATAACAGATTACCCAGATGCCTGGGCAGAAACTGCTGGGTTAGGCCTAGCCGTGAAACAACCTCCAATAACAGTGGAGTTAAAAATCTCAGCCTCCCCAATTAATGTCAAACAATATCCTCTGAGCAAAGAAGCTAAAGATGGGATAAGGCCCCATATTCAGAATTATCTGGCCTTAGGGGTCCTAAGGCCCTGTCAATCAGCCTGGAACACTCCCCTGATACCAGTAAAAACGCCAGGAACCGGGGACTATCGCCCCGTACAAGACCTAAGAGAGATCAACAACAGGGTGCAGGACATTCACCCCACAGTACGTAATCCGTACAATCGCTCAGTACTCTGAACCCTGAGTGAAAATGGTATACTGTTCTGGACTTAAAAGATGCTTTCTTTTGCTTGCCTCTGCATAAATATAGTTAGTTGCTGTTTGCTTTCGAGTGGGTAGACCCAGAAACCGGAACATCTGGTCAACTAACTTGGACTAGTTAGTTGAACTAGGGGTTCAAAAACTCCCCCACTCTCTTTGATGAAGCCCTCCACAGAGATCTCAACAACTTCAGAACTACGCACCCCAAAGTCACCCTGCTTCAATATGTGGATGACCTGCTACTGGCAGCTGACACCAAGGAAAACTGTGAGTCTGGGATCCAAGCACTATTATCCGAGCTTGCTCAACTCGGGTATAGAGCTTCTGCCAAAAAGGCCCAAATTTGCCAGCAAGAAGTAATCTTCCTGGGCTATTCCCTCAGGGGCGGTAAATGATGGCTCACTGAGCCCAGAAAACAAACTGTTGTGCAAATACCACCCCCATCTAACAGGAGGCAACTCAGAGAGTTTCTTGGGACTGCTGGCTTTTGCAGGTTATGGATACCTGGGTTTGCATCCTTAGCTGCTCCTTTGTACCCGCTGTTAAAGGGAGATGCCCAATTCCAATGGACCCCTGAGCACCAGCAAGCTTTTGATAACATCAAGAGGGTGCTGCTATCTGCTCCGGCCTTAGCACTCCCAGATGTAGAAAAGCCCTTTACTCTCTACATTGAGGAAAAGAAAGGAATAGCACGAGGAGTGCTCACTCAGACTCTAGTACCCTGGAAAAGGCCTATAGCCTACTTGTCTAAAAAGCTGGACCCAGTGGCTTGTGGATGGCCCCATTGCCTAAAAGCTATAGCAGCGGTGGCCCTACTAATCAAGGATGCTGATAAGTTAACGCTGGGGCAGAAGCTAACCATTATAGCCCCCCATGCCCTAGAGAGTATCATCCGCCAGCCACCAGACAGATGGCTATCAAACTCTAGAATAACACACTATCAGAGCCTGTTGCTTGACAAGGACAGAATAACGCTGGGACCCCCCCGCCCCGCTTAACCCGGCTACACTACTACCTGAACAATCATCAGGACCCGTCACTCATGACTGTCAACATATACTGGCAGAAGAAACCAGCATACGGGATTTAAAGGATCAGCCACTGCCCCACCCTGAGGTCATATGGTTTACTGATGGCAGTAGCTTTCTCCAGGACGGTAAGCAGCGAGCTGGGGCAGCAACAGGAACTAAAGTCATCTGGTCCTCTAGCCTCCCAGAGGGAACATCAGCTCAAAAGGCAGAGCTGATCACCCTCACGAAGGCATTAGAGCTAGCGGCAGGCAAAAAGGCCACTATATACACAGATAGCCGTTATACCTTCGCTACCGCTCATATACACGGGGATATCTACCAGCAAAGGGGACTATTAACCTCAGCGGGAAAGGAAATAAAAAACAGAGATGAGATCCTCCGCCTCCTCTCAGCAGTGCAAAGCCCTAGAGAACTAGCTATAGTGCACTGTCCAGGACACCAGAAAGGAAACGATCCCGTAGCAGTCGGGAACAGGAGGGCAGATGAAGAGGCTAAATTGGCAGCCCTAAACAGAGTAACCATGTAAACACTTTCCACACCGGGGGAACATAAGTCAGGAGATTTAACTATGTCGGAGCACCCCGACAACTTAACATCTAAGGACACTGACACTGAACTCCTCGATTTCACTGAGCCCAGCCTGCAATTTCAGAAAGCCCTACACTACGTTAAAAATGTACATCAACTCACTCACCTTGGTTCAAAGAAACTGCAGGCATTCCTGAAGGATCAAGAACAGTTTTCCACTAACCGACTCACAGCGAAAGGAAATAGCTGAACGGGTAACAAAAGCCTGTCGGGTCTGTCAATTGGTTAATGCTTACCCTTCCAAGCTTCCTGCAGGAAAGAGCCTATGAGGAACCAGACAGGACAATTCTGGGAAGTGGACTTTACTGAAATTAAGCCAGCAAGGTATGGACTTAAATATCTCTTAATCTTTGTAGATACATTTTCAGGATGGATTGAAGCCTTCCCCACACAAAAAAGAAACAGTGCAAATGGTGGTCAAAAAGATCCTGGAAGATATTTTTCCAAGATACGGCCTGCCTAAGGTAATAGGGTCTGATAATAGACCGGCGTTCGTGGCCCAGGTAAGTCAGGGGTTAGCCAGGACCCTGGGGATTAATTGGAAGTTACATTGTGCTTATAGACCCCAGAGCTCAGGACAGGTAGAAAGAATGAATAGAACCATTAAAGAGACCTTAACGAAATTAAGCTTAGAGACCGGCATAAAAGATTGGACTATGCTCCTGCCTTATGCACTGTTTTGTGCAAGAAATACTCCCTCTGTTTCTTTGTGTAACCTCACCCCCTATGAAATTCTCTATGGTGCCCCTCCTCCAGTAAGGGACCTAACCCCAACTCTAAGACCTAACGATTCCTTTCACACCCCCTTGCTTGACAGACTTAAAGCTCTTGAAAGAACCCAGCGATACCTGTGGAAACAGCTGGCCACTGCCTACCAACCTGGGGACGAAGAGACTCCACACCGATATCAAGTGGGAGACTTCGTCTACGTAAGACGACATCAGGTGTCATCCCTGGAACCCCGCTGGAAAGGACCATACCAGGTGCTACTTATAACACCTACAGTGGTAAAGGTAGACGGAATCACTTCCTGGATCCATGCCTTTCATCTCAAGCCTGCGCCCTGTCCAGACTCTGGCTGGAAATTGGAAAAGACTGGTAACCCTCTCAAATTGTGTATTCGCCATGTGGATAGGGCTATAGACTTTCCCCTTGACCACCAGTAGTCCTAACACTCATCAGCCCGTTCAGCAGCGATGGCTGATCACAAATCCTACTGGACAGGAAGTATGGTCTATCTCACATACAGCCCCCTTAGGGACCTGGTGGCCATCTCTCCACCCAGACATTTGTCAGTTGGCTATGGGTCTTTCCTATTGGGATATCCCTGATGAAGAGGATCCCACTAAAATTTCATTAAATCCCTTCCGTACCATAGATAATGGAAACAAACATTATGGATGTAGAGACACGCAAGCCAGATGTAGGTTGGCTAGCCTAGATTACTATGTTTGCCCGGTGGACTATCGAAGCCTCAAACAGTCACAGCTGTGTGGGGGAAAAGCCAACATCTTCTGTAAGTCATGGGGATGTGAGCATACAGGGGCTGCCTGGTGGAACCCAAACTCCCCTGATAGTCTGATTCGGGTAGGAAGAAATAATACTAAGTTAAGTCCCAAACAATGTCTCCCATTTAAATGGCACCCCCAAACGGGGACTTCTGGATTAGCTGACCCTACTCCATAAGACACAAGTAGCCTATGTAACCCCCTAAATATAACCTTCACCTCCAAAGGAAGAAACCGAAATATCTGGACATGGCTTTCAGGAAAAACCTATGGAACGCGATTTTACACCATGGGATATGATTTTGCCTTTGGTTCACTATCCGATTTGAAAGAAAAGAAATTCCCTTAGCCATAGGGCCCAATCCCCTTAAGCCAGAAATTAGGCCTCATAGACCTCCCGAACCTAAATCTACTAGGGTCCCTTCCCATACTTCTCAAGTTTCACCTTCGTTTACTTCCCCAATCCAGAGTGAAGTCAACCCCTCCTGCTGGGGGCTAATTGAAGGAGCCTTTGTGGTACTGAATTCCACGCAACCAGACCTCACTCAGTCTTGTTGGCTCTGTCTCTCAGCTGTTCCTCCTTACTATGAAGGGATAGCAATTGACGGGACTTATGCAGTAAAAGCGCAGAGTTCCTCCTGTAATTGGGGTGAAAATCCTAAGTTAACCCTCCCAGAAGTAACCGGGGCAGGCTTATGTATAGGGTCCCCACCTAAAAGTAAACAACACTTATGTACCCAGATAAAAAAAAAATAGCACCATACAGGGTTTCCTTACCCCTGAAAATGGAACCTGGTGGGCATGTGACACAGGATTAACTCCTTGCATTTCAGCCCAGGTATTTAACAGCTCTGTAAATTATTGTGTAATGGTGCAGATGTTTCCCAGAGTGCTCTATCATGACGCAGGTTCATTTGAAGATCAAATAGGGAGGCATACAACCCGGTTCCGCCGGGAACCTGTATCCCTCAATTTAGCCATCCTATTAGGAATGGGAGTTGCTGCAGGGGTGGGCACAGGAACCACTGCCCTGGTCCGTGGGATACAACAAATGACCCAATTAGAAACAGCAATGGACCAAAACTTAAAGATATTAGAAACCTCTATCACAGCTTTGCAGGAATCTTTAACCTCTCTCTCTGAAGTTGTTTTACAGAACAGGCGAGGGTTGGACCTCCTCTTCATGAGAGAAGAGGGCCTTTGTGCTGCATTGAGGGAAGAATGTTGTTTTTATGCCGACCATACTGGAGTTGTAAAAGAATCTATGAGTAAATTAAGAAGACGCCTTGAAGAGCGTCAGCAAGAGAGAGAAGCCCAAAAAGGGTGGTATGAGTCTTGGTTCACACAGTCCCCCTGGTTAACCATGCTTTTATCAGCCCTGGCTGGTCCATTAATAATCCTCATATTATTGCTAACTGTAGGACCTTGCTTGCTCAACCGTGTAGTTTCCTTTCTCCAAGCTCAAAGTGGACAAGTTAAACTTATGGTAATCAGACAGCAATATACCCCACTAGCAGACATAGAATGTGACACCCCCCAATGATCACTTTTATGATTAAAAGTAGCCAGAAGAAGAAGTGGGGAATGAAAGGTTAATAAAATAGGTACTTGTCACTCCGTTTTTCTGTATGCTTAACAAAACACTGTTGAAATCTTAAGAACTGTTTGTTAATCTTGTTCCCAGAATGGGCTGTCCCCAACTGTGAATTGTTTGCTAATCTTGTTCCCAGAATGTGCTGTCCCCAACTGCCAAACTGCAGAATGTAACTTCCCTCCCTGCCCTCTCCAAGGAAAGTATATAAGCTCTGCTTAAGCTGTTCTCAGGGCTCTCTTTGCTCTATTCAAGTGAGCTCTG